GATTTCTTTTCCTTTTTTTCAATTCTTCTGATTTGTTTTGATATTTGGCTTGGTTTGGTTTGGTTACATTGTAGAGCAGGATAGAAACGCAAGCAAACACACACACACACACCCATAGACATCTTTTGACTGGTCAAAAAACAAAAAATGAAAAAATAAAAACTTTGTACAACAACAACTTGAAATAATTAACACTTTCCAATTCTCTTCATCTTCATCATCATGAAAAAATTATTAATAAAAAAACATGAGACAAAAAAAGAGGATCTGTTTTTTGTTGGGTGGGTGGGGGGAATGCAGGTGAATAACAGTAGATGTAGTTTGTCTCTTTCTTGGTGCTCATTTTTAGATGTTGATTGTACTGATTGTATGTTTATTTTTCTGGGAGAGAGAGTGTGTGTAGGATATATGTTCAGTAATCATGTGTATATAACTATATGTAGACTTCTTTCTTTCTTTATTTTTTTGGTACATTGCATATTGCCAACCAATAAGAACAATTGTTGTACAGCTTTTATGTTTGGTTGAACATACAGCAAACACTCAACTAATCCAGTGATTCATGTGGTTTAAAGACTGTTTGGATTTGGTTTGAGATGGATCAATCACCTCTATATATACTATGTAAATATGTTTATTAGTTTTCTCAATTAGCAGGTGTGCACATGTAATGCATCATCACATGATACTCTGACTCATACATAGCCTTTTTTTGATTTGCTGTTTTTCTATATGTACTTATAGTGGAAATGGGTGTCCAGTGAAAATTTCATTTGTTTTGTGTTGTGGAGTGTGTGATGATTAAAAGCAAACATGCTGAGTTGTATATAATTGATGAATTCTTGAAATCCTTTGATTCATGTGGTTTAAAGATTGTTTGGATCTGATTTGAGATGGATCGTCCACCTCTATATATACATCCCACACATGCATGTATGAACATGTGTAAATATAATTGACACTTTTTTTTTTCTTGAGCAGTTGTGCATATGCACATCATACTCATACATAGACATTAGTTTTTTTTTTTGATTTGATTTGATTTGAGTTGCTGTTTTTCTACTTGTGGACATGGATGTCCAGAGAGGATTTCAGTTGTTTTGTGTTGGAGTGTGTGATGATTGAAAGCAAACATGTTGAGATGTATATATTTGATGAATTCTTGAAATCATCCTATCCCATTATTCTATGTACTGGTCATTGGGGATGAGTTATACAGAGGTATTCAAATAAGTTAACTTCCAGGCCTTAGAATTCTACAATTTTAAGTGCCAGAGATATTCATTTATGTTTGTACTAGTACCAACACTGGGCGGCTATGCTACGCCTCGCTAAAGGGCCACTTAGCGTTAGTGTAGCGGCGCTAAAACGGGCCCTTTTTTCTGTAGTGTTAGCGTGCTGCTACCGCCGCTACGCTACGCTACGCTGTAGCCCCGCTAATAGGCGGCTTGTTTTTGGGTAGTGTTAGCACATCGCTACAGCCGCTATGCTGTGTTACGCTGCGCTACAGCGCTTTTAGCGGCAAAAAAGGCAAAAAACCCACTAAAAAAGTGCTGTAGCGCAGCGTAGCGGGCACTTTTTTGTGCCCTGAGCGCGTAGCATTAGCGCAATTCCAACTTTCTGCGCTAACAGCTAACACACTTTTGTGCCCTTTGCGCGTAGCATTAGAGCAGAAAGGTGGATTTTTTGCTAACGCTACGCTACAAAGTAGCGCATTTCTGCTGCGCTATGCCACGCTAACGCTACGGTTAGCGTAGCTGGCCCAGCGTTGCTAGTACCAGTACTTGCCCCCAATTTTGGGGAGTTTGACTTGGCAACCTTGTTTTTGCCCCAAATGCTGGTGGGTTTACTCAATCATCTTTTGCTGCTTTTGGGGGTGTTGCTTGAATTGGGCACCTGTCTCTGTCTAATGTTGATTTAAACAAATGTGAATTGGAGGTTGACACCAGTCTTGGCTCTCTGAGCCTATTCTTTTAGTGATATATAGATGTTGTTGGAATTTTGTTCAGCTGATCATGCTCAAACTTGACAACTCAAAATTTATAAACCTTATTAATCAAAAATCATGCATAAGAAGCAGTGAACTTGAGAAAAATAACAGCTGACATATTAGGGGGTATCACATATAGGAAATCCACCATTAGAAACCGGTCACTTTTCCAAAAATGTTTTTTGCATAAATGGGCCCCAAAAGGGGTTAAATGGATAACCAACATTTTTAAAAAAAGGGTGGTTTTTTTCAAACCAGTCAATTATTTAATGGTGGATTTGGTTATATTTGATACCCCCTATTGTGAAAATCAGGTCATCAAGCAATATCCAATCAACACTGAAACAGAGACAAGACACGTATTTGGTATTGTCCCTTATCATCTTTATTTTGAGCCTGATACCTGGTATCAGTATTTCCTTTGTTGGTGAGAAAATCCACCGTCTTGGATTTAGATTTACAAATGCAAAAAAATGTCTTTGTCTTTGTTTTTTTTTTCTTCAATACGGCCAAATATCATGTGTATCAAAGATGTTTTGGTGAGATTATCCCTCTGAGACAATACAGAATATGTGTATCACTTCCCAAAGACAATAGTGGGATTAAGAGTTGAGTGCAAATGCCTTGCAAAAGGGTTCACAAGTCAATCTGCACAACAAAGCATGCATGTTCAGCTCCCATTACTCATTAGAAGGTTAGATGTGGCTAGTAGAAAGACATTTTTGAAAATCTCCATGCATGAGAGTGACTTGAAAAATGTTTTGCAAGTCACTTGCACTCAACTGTGAAACCCCCTAATACCATGAAAGTGGGACAACACAAATACATATTTTTGGGTATTCAAATTCTGAGACAATACAAATAAACACCTGATACCGTCTTGTATTGTCTCTGTTTCATTGGTGATCCAATCCAGTGAAAATGGGATTTGAGATTGGGTGGATATTTGCTTGGTTGTGCTCTAGTCCACAAAATCTCAAGATGGACATATAGAGTGTCTTTCCTGACTTATATATAGTCTATGAATGGGTAAATTTGATTTTAATTTTTCCAATCTTGTGGATCAGTTTTGGGAGTAGGTTTTGTCGGCGCCACCCCCTGGTGCGCGCCAAAGTGCGCACTCATAGGGCGCGCACTTTTTCCAAAAAGGTGGTGTGGCGCGCACCTCTACCCCTAACTTGATTGGGGATGGCCTGGAGAGTCCGCCGGCTCTCCCTGCACAAATGATGGGCATTGGACTGTCTACAGCCTGTCAGTCAGACACATCATTTCCAATTTTGGATTGATGGGCAAGTTGTAGCGGTA